ACTTTTGTTGGCCAAACTGTAATCAAGTCAGCCTGTGTGTTTTCAGTGTCATTAATGTAATCCAAATCCCCTGTGGTATGAGGAAGGTAGAGTATGTGTTATATGAATTAGGGTTAAGGCCTAGTGGCCCTGAGACATTGATTTCCCCTCTCTCATGATTGGCAGAACGGGACAGCAGCAGGAATCTCTGAATCTTTAATTAGAGCTAATCAATGATGCTGTTGTCGACCATGCAGCACACTCATTCATCCTGGGTCACACACATATGGCCAACATGCTCACTCCAGCTTAGCCATAGCTATACACCAACATGTTATCGAGTTAACATTCATGCTCCAAATGTGGCATTCATGCTAATAAAACTCACTGATATATCAGGCATTCTGTGGACAAATGCAGGAATCCTCCTAAAGCAAAAGAAAAGTATAAAATAAAACTGTTATACAGTCAAATGTGTGAACTCTGTTCCAGCCTGATAGAGATAGAAAGAGACAGAGAGAGAGTTGGAAAGGTAGAATGGCACCCAAGGGAGCCGTGGAACATTCACACCAGTGCTCATCCATCTCTGGGACATGAGGAAGGAAGCTGCCTGTAGCATGCCAAACAGAGCGAGCCCGGCAGAGAATTCAACATGAGATGCTGGCCAGCCTTGAACATGTGACACACACACACACACACACACACACACACACACACACACACACACACACACACACACACACACACACGCGCACACACACACACACACGCGCACACACACACACACACGCGCACACACACACACACACACACACACACACACACACACACACACACACACACATACAATCTCCTTCTTAAACTCCTCAATCACGTTTCACACCCTGCATACACACACCAATGCGGACCCCACTAGTGTAATTGGAATGGGGGCTCATACTTGCAGGGCCACATTTCTCTCTGGCTAGCCTTTGTCATGCGGTGACATAGTTAATCTGTTTTGCTAACATGCAGACTTTCATGGTGACTAATGTTCAGGCCCCTCTGCGTAGCCTTATTAAGACGCAATACATTCTAATGTCAACCCAACCCAACCTCACCCAGCACTTCTGTTTCTTTCATGGGCCAGGAAATAATTGTGGTCTTTTGTCTTTTTTATGTAAGATGTAAAACATACAGTAAAATCATAAACCAGTGGAATCTTTGCAGCATTAAATATATTTCCAAAGGGAGTATGATTTCAGACAGAGCAGACAAATACATATTGTTATTTCTACAGTCGGCATCAGTTAGCTTTTCATGGTTATCTGCAGGTAAAAAGACATCTACTGTATGGTGTCTTCCACAACTGGGCTTAATTTCATGGTTTTTAAGACATCTGGATTACATACAGTGTATCCCCTCTTTAAACTGCCTTTGACAGCTATAACTTTACATGCAGGTTCCAAAGGGTCTTATTTTCATATTTTTTGGCTCAAGCTAAACATATTTAACAGTGACACCCTTTGCATAAAATGTAGTGTTAGTATGATTTTAAGTGAGATGGCGCCACAGAAATGATGGTGTGTCTTCTTCTGCCAATAATCAACATAAGTGTGGATTCCTAGTATAAGCATATGGCAAATGAAAACACAGTGTTGTTCTATAAACAATGTCAGGTCAGGAACATGTGAGCAGAACCCTACCTGACCCCCCACCCACCTTCCCTTGGGCGAATTTGACATTGAGTAGTGGGTAGCAAAGTTCAGAGAACCTCCACGCCCTTGGGTCTTTTCATAGTGGTTAGAAAAGGGTCCATGCCAGACGCCCAGTCCTCTGGCAGTTGATATAGAGGTTCATGTCTGCCTCTATCTTTCTTTCATAACAGGCAGAATAAATTGGGATTCTTGTGGGATCTTAGATTATTGCACAGCTGAATGGCTGTTCTGCATTATTGCGTTCATATTTGATGCTGTTCATACACATCCAGAATGTCTTGCCAGAGGGAGCTGAAGGATGACTTGTGCAATATTTAACTTTCTGGGTATGCTTGAATGTTTTGTACAGTCGTATTGGTGTTTTATTTCAGTTTTCAGGCAGCAACAAACTTGGGCATTGCCCCACAAAAGTATCCTGGACAGAAAATGACAACAGCCGCATGGTAGCTGACAGAAGGGTAAAACCTCGTAACACTGTTTACCTGCCCTCTGCCAGCAACACAGTGCATGATGGGAAACAGAACTGACAGGTGAGGCCAATGAGTGGGTAGGAGGAATCAAGCAAAAGTTCTTGTGTCGCTGTCAGAGATTTGATCTCTGTCAGTGATGCTATGGTTCCTCTTGATGGTCTGTCATGTCCAAAATGTGTTTAATTGGACTCAATTAGTCAGCTCAAGAGCTCATTGAGCATTATGCTAATTGGCGTGTGCAGAAGGGGTGACAGAGGGAAAATTGGCAGTGGCAGCTTGTGTAATCCTGTTGTGAGGGCATAGAGAGCTCTGCGCAGAGGGGAAATGGATTGACGACTTGAAACTCAAGACGGAGAGCTGTGGTTAACAGAAGCCGCAGGTCCCCCTTCGTTTCCCCTTCGTTTCCCCTTCTACCTCGCACAATTGTTCATTTTGAAAAGCTATTTGAAGTTCCTCCCTCCTATTAGTTCAAGCTTGTCACTCTGATGCCCCGTCTGTATAGGTAAGACAATCTGGGGAGTGTTGGGGTAGGGGGTGCTCCACTGCTCCCACCGTGCTATCAGGTTGATTTCAAGGAAGTTACATTAATAAAAAGCAGTAATGCTTCTTAAGGTTCCTGATGTATCGGTAGCTCATCCCTGAAAGTGTGAATTAGTGTTAAATCTACTCTTTAATAAGGAACGAAAGGTTTCTGTATGTGTGTGAGGGTGTGTGGACTTGGCCAAGCCAGTGGGACAGAAGCGCTGATGTGTGCTACCGTTTAAAATAGCCCAGACAGACAGCTGAGCAGCTGTGACCTCAGGTCCCCGAACCTCTCAGTTACACTCACTGACCACTGCTCCTTGCAATGTGTGAGTATGTCTGTACCTACAGTACGATACACTGAATCATCCATACACATTTACCCTTCACACTTTCTTTACGAGGCTAACAGAAAGCGTATAGTTAAAAGTAATTTGCAGAATAACTCTTTTTCAGTGTCTGAGATTGCTCCCATTATTGTCCATATTTAAAAGCCATCCATGGCTTTCTGCGTCAGTCAGCGGAGGTTATTAAAGGATACCAAAAGGCTTTGGTTTTGTCAGGCAGGGACAATGCAGTCCAATTACAAGACAAGTCACGATATCCTCCGACTGGGCATTCTCTTTGCTCTCGTCAGCAGCCAGCCAGACACTCAGCAACAAGCATGAAATAGACTCCAAGGATCAAATACAGACTGCGTGCGATTGGAAGTGTACAACTGTGGGACAGGGTGTGTGAATGAGATCACCGGTGTGATGATTTTTGTGTTCATGGAAGTGTATGTGCGTGTGAGAGAGCGACAAAGAGAGTGCGAAGGAGCTTGTGGACAGTGAGTGCTTTAGCCAGGAAAGTGTTATTAGTTATGTGCTCCCAGGCTGATGGCTATAACAGGGGGGAGGAGTGGTGAGACTTGGAGGGCCACTGTCGCCTGATACATTGCCAACAAATGCTTTTATAACCACTGTGGAGAAAAAAAGACCATGGTTACCCTGAACACCAATTATAAACATTACTCAGAAATATTTTTGCTTGAGTCCCATTGTACTGAATGCCTTTGAGATCCCATTGTAATTCTTTAGAATGTATCTGGCTTTTTCTGGTAACGCTAAAATAATGTATTAAACATGAGGTACACCTGATATAAGCCATCATTTCACTCTATTTGAACTTCATTTTGGGCATTTTAGCAGTTTGGGAGTCTCACCACAAACATGGCTCCCTTCAGGCTCACTGTCTGTTTATATGTGTCCTACAGTAGCTAAGACAGGCTAACAGTTATGATAACTCTGCAGCTGACAGCACTGACTAATTTAGGGCAATTACAGGCCATGAATAGGCAAAGTTTCCCCTACAGCAGCAGCCAACAAGTCAGCCACACATCAGCTGAGCGGGCAAACTGTCACTGTCGACGCCGCTGTCATCACCACTGACTCTCCTTTCCAGCAGCAAACCATTTGATGGCTTCTACAGTCCCCTCTGCTCTATTCCTGGTGCAAACATGCACCGATATGTTTAGCAAGAGGCTTCCTGGATGCAAATAGAGAAGGTCAGACTATGACGGCTTGCACTGCCCACGCCCTCATAACTCAGTCCAGTATGGTCAATGAAACACTGATGTGTTTTCAGGGACATGAAGCAATCCACTGCAATATAGTCTTATTGGTTTGAAGTAGTTCAACATTTCGGGGATATATCCTCTTTGTGAGAAGAATAGATTAATACTACTCTGATATCTGTGTGCTAACTATGCAGCTCAGACATGTAGGCAATTAGCTTAGCTTAGCATAACGACTAGATGCAAAGAGAACAGTCTAAAAATACACTTTCATCTTAAGCTCTCTACTTTCTGGAGTCTTGTGTCTCAAACAAGACACCATTTGTTACGCTTTAGCCAGGCAATTATTGAATATAGTGTACTATACACCGTCAAATGTTTCCTTTAATAGGTTCAGAAAGTATCACTGTGTGTGGCTGTGCATAATGTGGAAACCTCACTGTTTAATATTCACTTTTGAGGGCAGAGGCATTGTGAGTGCTGTGAGCATAACATATTTTAGAGCCTGCACACCTACTGCAACACAGTCTGTTCAAGCCCACACAGTCCTAAGAGGAATAATCAGGAACAAGTACCATGTGTGTAGGTCCACATTAATGAACATATTTTCAATTTATTAGAACTCTGATTTAGGGAGCTTATCAAGGCCTAAAGTGACTGATACTCTTTAAAGAGCAGGTACCAACACAGGCAGACAAGCAGAGCACTTGTAATAGAGCTCAGGTACACTGTATCATACCGATACAAAAGAAACACAATGAGACACAAAACAAATGGCAAGTGACTTAAAATATATACATTTATACACATGCGAGGGTAAAGGGCTGTAGGTGAACTGTGGGTGCATTGAACGACAGTCATTAACAAACTCATACAGTATGATCTAAACAAATGTGGTTACAGAACATAAGATGTGACACATTTAAATTGCTAAAACCTTACATAGCTGCAAAGTAATATATATTGCATGTATATGTGAGTAGTTAAGCGGGTCTTCTACTTTTAGGCAGAGTCAATGGTGAGTTACTTTTCAGTAGGGAGAGGGAGAGCTGTTTACAAAACAGGCAAGTTAATAGGGGAGGTATTTCACTGCACATAGACCCTTGTAAGTGTGTAGACCTGTTTACCTTAGATACTGTATCCATATAGCTTTTAGGGGTTATCAGGTATAATACTGTATCTGCATAGCATTGACCGTACATTCAAACTCATTCACACTATTCATTCAGGTACTTAAGTGTACATTACATTAAGCATCCTCATCTACACAGAGCGAAAACAGATACACGGAGGAAGCCATTATAGCAGTCACAGAGTCTTTTGTTGAACTTCCCTTTTGCTCCATCCCCATGAGGAATCATTTAAAAAACAAAATAAGATTTGCTTTTATTCTGTTGGAATTCCAAGGAATGGTCTGCTTAAGAGTGAGTGACGAGACAATGGAGCTTATTTGGCAAAGTGTAAGATAAATCCATGAAAAGGGACACAATGGATATATATACCATAGTATAGTGTTAGCCATTGTGCACTATTGCTTCTGTTTAGTGATTATACTGGGCAACAGATACACCCACATTTCTCTTTTTGTGTGTGTTAAATTGTATTTAAATCTGCATGTGACAAATCGACCTTTGAGAGAGGAAGATGAAACCTGACTTCGCACCATCAGTGAGATATACTGGAAAAAAAAGCGATATATGATTTTTCGATGCTTCCCCAAATAAGGCCCTGATCCTACCGTAACAATTTTGATAACTTGATAGGTCATTCATGCATTAATGTGCAATTCAACAAGCAAACACACAAAACTGGATGCACAATAAACGTTAGTAAAATCAACAATGTACAAGCTTTGTTCAAACATCCAAAATGTGTCAATTTCTGTAGTTGGCTTGAGTTCGAAAATGATGTGCATTCCTGCTTTATTTCTTACAGAAATGATATTTCTTTAGGTTTATTTGCATTATTTTATACGTAATATGAAGCAGACAAGCACAGTCCATTCATAGCTAAGGGAAAAAACCCAATTAGCTCGATCAGTTAAGAGCTTTTTGTTGAATCAGTACCTCATACAATTTTCAAATCTTTCCACCTATATACAGTTACATACTATACAAACCTAGTTTGTCTGCACAATGTGTTCAGCCGTGCAAGTGTGCCCGTGCTCTACCTGTGAACTCATTACATTCTAATCCCCGCCCAGGTACACAGTCATTAGAGTATAACAAATCTGCTGTTCTGGGCCAGGCACCTGGGATTGATCTATCAATCTATCATGCATTCCTTAATCCTCCAAAAGAAAATGAGTCGAGTTTTCAAATGAATTCTTCTGCCTGGCTGGCAGATGGTGCAGTGGCCGTGATGGTGTTTTTAGCTCCGAAGGATAAGCAAAAACCAACAGCAGGAAAATAAGCCGGCTATATTTGTATATGTGAAACGTGAATGTGAGTCTATATGTGTAAGCATTTTTTAAGTAAAATCAGAATGATGCTGACCCATTCTGACGACAAAAGGTGTGATATGTGAGTGATGGGGCTGTATTGATGTCTGTAAACATAAACGTCCAGCCCCCAAAACAGCCTAGAAGCAGCCGGACTAATCTTAGAAGATGAGCGTGCATGAGATAAAGCTTCACCAACATCAGTGTTGCTGAAGGACAACAAGTTCCTGCACGTGTCCTCTTCTCTTCCACAACTTGTCTTCTTTGCCGATTTCCCGTTATAACCACCCATCAATGGCAGGAGAAAGGATACTATGCGTGATATGTATATGATATGAGTGTCTCTGTGCATGTATGTTGATCCTAGAGGAGGCAGGGGTCGGTGGGGGATTCACAGAAGATGCTGGAATCAGAACAGGGTCCATTGCAGGCAAAGTGCAGCAAAGAGCAGTGCGAGGCTCCACAGCCGTGCCCAGCTGGAAGTCGCTGAGCCCCCTATCACCTTCACCGAGGGGGGCTTGGAAGGGTTCTCGCGTGGGCTTTCACCTCCAGGCTGTCTCCCCAAGGGCTTCCCTCCACTTGAGGCTGTATGTGCTGTAAGAGACAGAAACAGAGAGAAAAGGTGAGAGAGAAAGCAAACAGAGATAAATGGTTTAGCTCATCACTGTAATCATGCTAATCTGCTTTAATGTTCAGAGTCCTTTAGGCTTGTAGAATTGTATATGAGGGGCTTTTCATCATCCAATCACTAATCCCTTCGTCTCATTCCAAGGGACTTCAAAAAACAATCACATAAAAATGATGAATGATTATGTCTGTTACAGTTGAAGTGAGTTCATATGTACATCAGAAGAAGCACAGCTGTGGGTGTTTCAGTTGAAAGCGCCAATAAATTATTTGAAGAGTGCTTTAAATATTTCAAAAGATCTTTTACAGCCACTGTGTTACTATTCAGCTACCAACACATTTTTAAATCCTTCTGTCTCAGTGACAAAACGGTGCCACTGTATACTGTTTTTTCTGCCCCATGTGACAGACAATTAAGAACTGTCATCTCCACACACATATCATGATGGAGGGTTGACCATGTGTCTAATATCCAGCAGCAGACGATGAACAACCTTAACTGCGTCATTACGGCCAATCAGAGATAAATTAAGGTGATGAGGGTAAAGCAGATATTAAGAAACGATAACAATTCCAGTCCCCAAGACACACATAAAGTTACACAAACCACTTTTTCTGTCTACATTGGTGAAATACCAGCTTTTCTTCAAGAGGACTCTTCTCATGAATCAATCCAACGGCTTCTTTTCCATTGACAAACTTCATCATCGCCCTGCCTCTAAACCACCTACTTTCTTCCGTTTGTGTTTGCGACAGATTGTTGATGCCTCTAAAATCAAAAGGAAATTATTCTCTCTGCTTGTTAATCATCCTTCTTCCCGCTCTACTTTACGCATTCCAAACCCAGCCCAGATATGTTCATCATTAGACAGATTACCACGTTCAGCGCAGCAAAGTGCACCCCACACTTCCAGTTACCAATGAAGTTACCCTGCATCAATAAGACCTTACAAGTGCCGTCAATTTTCTGTGTGCACGTGCTGTGCTAGGGGCTCTGCAAGCTTTGTGTGAGCTCTCAAAGAAGGATGGGGTGAAATCAGGGAAGGCTCATACCCATAGATTCTGAAAGAAACAAATAGAGCCATGGCCGAAGAAAAGAAGAATACCTCAGCCATACCAAAGTCTCAAAATGTGTCTTTATGCTGTCACTGTCAGAAAAATAGGCCAAGTTTGCAATGATTCCCAGCAGTGTGTAAAACTGATCTGTCAAAAATGCAGTTGTCTAATTAAATACTGTTTGAGCTTCCTGTGTGGGTACACTACATTGACAGTCAGGTGTGTGATAGGTTATCAGATATTTCATCTATATAAAATGGGAAAAATGTGGCACCCACACAATACCTTTGAATACCTAACTAAATCTTTACAGACATAGAAAATACAAAGCGTATTTCTCTTTCAAGGCTAACATCGAATAAGATGTTTTCCTTTCACACTTGGCATCTAAGAATGCATTCTTTTGTAGCACATCAACCTATCCCTACTGTGCCCTATGGGTCTGTAAGCATGCATGTGTATGTATTTGTGAGAAGGGATAGGCAGGGCTCTGGAGAGCGAGGGGAGTGTTTTCCGTGCCAATGGTTTTTGTTGTTCCAGTAGACAATAGACAAAGACATCATGTATTCTAAATCAGATTGCTGTTATTGTCTTAATGGAAATGGGCTGCATCTCATCGGGGACATTTCAGTAAACAGCATTTGGAAGGGCCAATGCAGCACTAACTCCACTGCAGGCTAACCAACAGGCTAATTAATGGAGCAGGTCCATGCCAAAACAAAGAATAACGGCATAGAAAAAAGCACTGGCACTTTGGAATGCATGGTGTTGGAAAGCCTTGTGATATTTGAACTATGCAATAAAACTAATCATCTAACATGGTCTGTTTTAAGGTAAAGCCAAACCAGGTGATTGCCTAGAAGGCCACCAGCTGCGAGGGGCATAAAAGAGAAGAAATTAGATATTGTAATTTACCTCACGTCTTGTTTGTATTAAAATGCCTTTGTGTTCATAAATCAAACAAAGCTCACACAAGACTCAACAAACCCTCACAACGACATTCAGGACATGGATGAGGAATACTTCTTGGACCCAAAGAGGTGTCCAAAATGTGATGGATGGATGGATCAATGCTTCAGTAACACCGGTGAATCAGTTTGACATATTGTTTACACTCAGAATGAGAATATCTCTTATAAATAGAATTAGACACTATTTAAAGAGGACATTGTTGCAAAATCGTGAGTGGTTTGATTCTAAAAAACAGATCAACATCTGTTGTGAAATAGACAGTTTAAGTGCTTCAAGACACAGCTCTGCCATTTACAGGCGCAGTAGAATATAAGACATAATTAATGTTTTATATACTGACATTTTATGTTGCAGTAACGCAATGTGTCATATGTATCTAATACATTGCTTTTAAACAATTTTCCCACATTTTTCAACATTGTTTTTTTTTAAAAAGGATCTCAAAATGTGAGGAAACCTTTAAACTTTATCATGGAAAGTAATAAAAAAAGCCCCGCCCACATAGAGCTAACACACATCTGAGAAAAGCAAAGATTTCCAGTCTGTTTCAATTGAAGTTTGAACTGATTTAAGTTTCTTCCCCAGCTATTAGGTCCTAATAATGTGTATAGTGTATATATACAATAAATATTCATGACTTCACATATGCCTGGCTTTTTTATTTGAGAAAGATTGTCTAGCAAAAACAACTATACTGCAATAGTGTGGAAATGTCATGATAATATTTACAAATACAGTTATACAACGGAAGAGCAGAAGCAGTACAAACTTGGTAAAAGCAGTATTGTATGTTAGTTATGTTCCTAAAAGCAAGCAAAAACTAAAAGTACAATGAAATGAAAAGCCATGAGGGCAGGAGGATAAAGGAATGTGATGTTGTTGTCATAATGAGACAATGTTAGCAGATAAGCTGGGCTTCATAAGCTGGCTCATGTGTAAATCCCCCAAATATGGTGGAGGAAAGAAAAGGGAGAACAAGAAAGAGCGACAAACAGAGGGTGGGAAGGAGGGAGAGATGACGGAGAGGGTTAGAAGAGGGAAACAGTCAGTTTGGCTTTTCAGTATGAGTATGATGATCCATCGTCACTCGTATCAAGACAGATGGTATAAATCATCCCGGGCGACATCAAGGCTATGCGATGGCACGTAGAGATGCTTCTTCCAATATAACAACAGTCAATGACATATTTTCCCCAGCAGTACAAGACAAATGTGATTTGATTGGTAAAAAGCTTTATAATAGACAACAAACAGTGGCAGAGGAAAACATGGTGATGGAAACCAACAGAATTGGAGTGCTAAGGGGAAGAAGTGTGTAAATATGTGTGTGTGGATCCTATAATAGAATAAAGTGTGGGTTGTGCTAGCTTTCATTTCTCATTAGAGTCATGGTCATGGCGAGGAAGAGGATGGGGGATCATGTCACACATCTGAACATCCAACACTGATATATAATGACTGTGGTACCTTCATACACATGCAGTGCAAGTGGGGAACACAGCTGAATCCCAACCTATAGCTTGTTAAAGAGGGGTGTTCTGTCTTCTGCCAGCTTGCTGACCTTTTCATTGGCTAAGTGTGTGAGAAATGATTCATAGAGTCCTCTGTCACTAATGCTCCTCCAGATGGGTAGATTGTGTGTTTGGAAGAGCCTCCATTTCCCTCTGGCCAAGGAGCAACAACAGCTGCTTCTAACAAGCCTGGCCACGGCACTGAAGAAGAGGTGGACCTCAGGCTTTAGCCAAGAGGAAGGAGGGATGGAAAGGGAGGGGAGGGAGAGAGGAAGGGAGGAATAAGGGTTGGAAGGTGAGTGGGAGGAATAACAAACCCCTTGGCCATAATTCTTTGGAAAAATTGAGGGACAGACATTTGCATGATGGTTCTTTGGGCAAACATGTCAGTGTATTGCTGCTACTCCTCCCTCTCTCTTCGTCTCCGTCCTTCTCTCGTTCCTGCTCTTAACTATTTTGTGTTTCAATGGGTTAGCAAGCACAAAGCCACTGCTGCCACACAGATGCACCCCTGAAACCTATGCAAACTGTTCTCAAACAATCATTCCTCTGTCTTCAACTGATACGATTTCATCTCCCTTATCCTCAGCACGTCATACCTACTGTAGACGGGAATACAGACACGGACCGAACGCATATAACCATACGAATACACTCCATTTGGGATGGCAGCAGGTAACAGGGCAATGAGTTTATTGAGGGACACATCCAATGAGTTGCTTTAGGTCCATGTGTGTTGTGCATGGCTGTGTTTGTGTTTCCTGGGACTGAACACAAGCTGCCGAGCTGTAATCCAGTGAGGAATGGCACTACTGTATACTGGGGCTTAGCAAGTTGTCACACTATATTCTATCAAGATAACAAGGACGTTCTTTCAAGGCTCAACACTGACTTATAACCATGACAGACCTAAATGTGCGTTCTCTTCAATTCAACTGTGTTCGTTTTCTTTCTATTTCTCTGAATCTGCCCTTGCTCGTGTTGTTACATCTCAGTCTAATTACACTCTCACCTACCGTTGTCTAGAGTAACTGAACCGCCTACATATGCAAATAGAAGAGTTGCTTATCATTTGCTTTTAGCCCCCGTGTCAGTTTTCACCACCCAGTCTGCTTTGAACAGTTATGGAGACGGTCAGAAGGCGGATGTTTGATTTATGGCACAGTGAGGGAGCGTGGTGGAGGTCAGTAACTTGTTCGTCCTCACTCTCATTCTCACCACCATCCTCTCTCCCTTCCTTGACCTTCAGGGTCTTCATCGCTTGATGTGAGACAGACACAGGGGGGGGTGGTAAAGCTGCTCATGGGCTTGCGTTTTGACAAGGCCACTGGACCTGCCTCACAGCAATGTTTCATTAAGTGGGAAAACCTTTGACACATGTTTTTTTTTTTAACACTCACACAGGCAGACAGAAATGTAAGCATGCGC